GCTATCTAACCATCTCATCCTCTGCCGTCCTTTTCTCCTTTTGCCTTCAATCTTTCCCAGCATCAGGGTCTTTTCCAGAGTCCTCTCTTTGCATTAGGTGACCAAATTATCTGAGCTTGAGCTTCATTATCAAAGCTTTGTTCATACATAATACTAAATCTTAATGTGGTTATTAATGTGGCTTTTGATATAGCATGACGTGAAGTTATTTATTATGGCTTTGCATTATATGATCATAAGCTCCTATGCCTTGTTAAAAAATCCTACCATAACATGATCTGTGAACCAGGCCTAAATGTAGTGGTTAGGAGTATGGTCACATACTTTTTGTAAAAGCTGTATAAAATAGGTGAACTTGCTGAAAAAGTCTTGATCTCTAGCCTGGTCTTATGTGTAGCCAGATGTTAGAGACTGAGAAGGAGTGCCAGAGTATAGTCTGCAGATAACAAGATAACAAGTGCTCCAAAATGGTCTGTCTGGCAGAACATGGATGTGCTAATCAAATGGGACAAGTATTGGCTTGTTCGTGACCTTGTTTTCAAGCCTGTCCCAGTTGGAATTGGCATAGAGGTAGTCCTCACTAAACGTCCACTCATTCAGCAACCATTCAAAGCTATGACGGCACTGAACGAGGGGTACTTGCAGTGGGTCCTTGTGGTTGCGGCTATTGTAGTGTCCCTGTGGTCACATGATCGCAATTTGGGTGCTTGGCAACCGGCTTGCAATTATGACATTGCAGTGTCCTGTGGTCATGTGATCCTCATTTGTGACAAGCAAAGTCAATGGGGAAGCTGGCAGGAGGTTGCCAATGGAGATCACATGACCGCGGGATGTTGCAACTGCACGGGATTACTTAAAAATGACAACTGGGATTGCCGGGACTGTCGTTGTAAATCGTCATGGTCACGTGACATTGCACCTTACAACCACATCGCTTAGCAATGGAATTCCTGGTCCCAACTACCATCAGCAAGGGAGGACTACCTGTGGTACTCCATCACCGATTAGCCAGGTGCAGAGAAATTGGTAGCAGGACCATTGCCTCTTTCCTTCCTTTTGGTCTAAAACTGGAAGCTTCTTTCCTCTCTGCAGGAAACCTTTTTGTCCGGTACAACACCCGGCACCTCAGCCGTATCTACCCGCTGGGTCTGAAGATGAACTCCTCCAACTACAACCCTCAAGAGATGTGGAATGCAGGCTGCCAGATTGGTAAGAGCAAGGAGAAGGCACACTCCATGCCATGCACTTCATTCCCAGTTGCCATTTCTGGGGTCTCTCCCACAGTTGCTCTCACTCTTGGACTTGCTTTGATTTCACAAGTGAATCATAGATTGGAGTATAACCTCAATTCCAATAACTGAGCAGGAGATGGGTATTTCGTAGTAACTTGGAATCTCCAATCCTAGTCATTTTGGCTTTATCCTGAAAAATGAAAGTGGCTTAGGAGAGAAACAGGAAGTTGAGGATGAACAGTCCAAAGGGAGCTCAGTTCCTGATTGAGTGGCAGCTTGCTCAGACTGAGAAGGTAGGCCAGAGCTGGCCTCGCTATGAAAATTGGCTGCCCCTTGTGTTAGCTAATCCCTCTGGCTGTCTGCAGCAGCAGCACTGCAGTGTAGCAGAGACCAAGCAATGAACTCCATCATCTAGCAAGCAATGAAAGGATCACTTGGTGGTATATCTGGCAATGTGTAGACCTTTTCATGTTATCGTTCATTCACCCAGAAGAAGTTGTCTTATGCAAAGTTAGAACACGGTCCATTGAGCCGAATGGGATGGGCAATGGCTGTCTTCGGTCTCAGGGGAAAAAGTATTTTGTTGCTTGAGGTTACACAGTTGAAGGGACTGAATCTGAGATCATTTGGATTTTAAGTAGATGGTCTGCTACTGAGCTACAGGCCTCTCCTCAGGGTTTTAAAATAATGTGCAAAGCCAAAGCATTAAAATGTTTGTTTTATAGTATTTTCCTTCAGCAACTTAGATACACTTTGAATTAAATGTAACATGTATTTCTTAGAGCAAATTAATATGGTTTTGCATATGCATTAATAGGAGGTAGTGTACTGGCCATGGATATCTTTGCCTTTGTTCTTCCCAGACCTGCTCCTATTTTATTCCTTATTATGTACTGCTCAAGTTCTTTTTGAATGTGCAAAAAGCACAGATACGAAGTTTGATAAAACTGCACCATGACAATATTCCAGTTCTATGACCTATTTAATCTCTTTCCTTTCTGTGGTCGCATTTCAGTGGCACTGAATGTCCAGACACCAGGTGCTGAGATGGATTTGAATGATGGGCGCTTTTTGGTGAATGGCCGCTGTGGCTATGTGCTGAAACCTGCTTTCTTACGCAATAACCAGAGTACCTTTGACCCCAAGGTCCCCATTCATAGGAGTGGCCAGCACCCCATTACCCTCACCATCAAGGTATAGTTGAGTGTAGGATGCCCACATATTCTTTGTATGGCCTGTTATATGTATTTAGGTGCATATAAATGCAAATGAACAGTAGACTTAACAAGAAACATTATTGCACAGTCTTGCTTGGATTTACTGTCATGACCATAATTAAATGTATTGGCATTTCCAGGTTCTGCAGAACCTGAAACATGCAGACCTTTTTGTTTAAAAGAAAAGCAAAGCATAAAAGTGCTTCCAGAAGATCCTTTTATTGTAAAGTTGCCCTACTTTGTTAATAGAATTTTGGACGAGAGCATCCAGATGATACCACCTTTTACTTACAACAATTATCCTCTACTTTATTTATCCTATTTTTTAAATTAGTATATAGACCTGCCTTCAGGAACATAAAGCAGCATGCATGGCTCTCTGCTTCCCTCATTGTACCTCACAACTCTGTGAGGCAGTTTGGCTGAAAGCCCTCTTAATTCTGAGTTTTTTCTTCCCTCCAAAAGTTGGCTAAGAAGAAAAAGACAGAATAGCTACACACTGGGAGCTGCAAGTAGCCTGGGCTTCTAGCTCTATTGGGTGCAAAGTTATGTTCAAATTGGTATAACCAATACCCACTGAAATCTCAGATGCTGGAAAGGGGGCTAAGTAAGTTTTGCAGTGGTTGGTGTCAGACTTCAATGTTTCTGACAGAATATATTATATAACACAGCCCAGATTTATATATTAAATTACAGAAATTTGTAAGCTTTGCATCATTTTCAAAGACGCTGGAACTTTATTTTTCTTGGAAGACATTAATACCTGGGTGCAAAATTTTAATTTGATGATAGCAGTGTGTAAATAGCTCTGATTAGGGGTGTCAAGTTCAAAAGAGGATGGGGCTTCTGCACTTTCAATAGCTGTATTGAAGAGGGCACTTGGGCAGATATGTAGTTTTGCAAGCCCCTTCTACCAAAGTTCTCTTTTCTACTGAACAATTAAAAGTGTAGAAGCCCTATCCTTTTTCTGTTTGTTTGCATTTGGCCATTCTAGCCATAATTCAATTGATGGAAATTAATTCTGATTTCAGTATGGTGCTAATTAATATTCAGCCAGTATTTCAACTGTATTTTGTGTAT